GATTTTTTTTTTTTCTTTTCTTTTTTTTTTTGAGATGGAGTCTCGCTCCGTCACCCAGGCTGGAGTGCAGTGGCATGATCTCGGTTCACTGCGACCTCCGTCTTCCAGGTTCAAGCGATTCTCCTGCCTCAGCCGCCAGAGTATCTCAGATTATAGGCACACACCACCATGCCCGGCTAATTTTTTTTGTATTTTTAGTAGAGACGGGGTTTTACCATGTTGGCCAGGCTGGTCTCGAACTCCTGACCTCAAGTGATCTGTCTGCCTCAGCCTCTCAAAGTGCTGGGATCACAAGCGTGAGACACTGCCCCTGGCCAGAAATTATTAAAAAATAATAATAAGATAAAGCTCCACTTGCCCATGAGGCAACCCTTGTCAGCGGCTGTTGGTCCTCTCTGTGTTTGCTTCTAGAGAAGGCTGGTTAGGGCTGAGTTTTATTTGGGGGAGAGGAGATAAAAAGGAGTGTGATGGGACCCCAAAAGAACGATATCCTCAGTGACAGGGAAATTTTCTTGGTGCCTGTCCCACTGCCCAGGTGGGTGCTGGGCACACAACCCCAGGGCACCCATGAGCTGGAACACCACACACCTTGTGTGGAAGGGCACCTGTTTGAGAGGTGGAAGGGTGTGGTAGGAGGGGGTTTTGCTTTCGTGTGTGTCCCCCAGTGTAGCCATGTTATATCTGAAATGCTTATTAAGCATCGAAATGGTGGTGTCTGAAGTTCAGAGAAGTCCAGGCTGGAGAGAGAATTTGAACATCTGAAACACATAAACAATTGTAAAGCTATAGAGGAACTTACTAAGGCCGGTCCAAGGAATGGACCTTTTCACAGGTGAGGGAATGGTGGGCTGACAGGCTACATCACTTGCCCCAAATTCCATGACTGGCAAACTGCAGAGCTGGGATTCAAACCCAGGTCAGACTCATGCCAACCTCTGTTGGCAGCTGCTGTCGAGTCTTGCTGCTGTTGACCAGGGGTCTCGGGTGTGTCACTTGACCTTTCAGTGGCTGTTTCTTTTTCTTTTTTTTTTTTGAGACAGAGTCTCACTCTGTCGCCCAGGCTGGAGTGTAGTGGCATGATCTCGGCTCACTGTAACTTCCACCTTCCGGGTTCAAGCCATTCTCCTGCCTCAGACCCCTGAGTAGCTGGGATTACAGGCGTGTGCCACCACGTCCAGTTAATTTTTGTATTTTTAGTAGAGACGGGTTTCACCATGTCAGCCAGGTTGGTCTCAAACTCCTGAGCTCAGGAGATATGCCTGCCTTGGCATCCCAAAGTGCTGGGATTATAGGCATGAGCCACCACGCCCAGCTTTAGTGGCTGTTTCTTCTATTCAAGGACAGTGGCAGTGGAGGGGCAGGTGGAAGGCAAGAATGGTGCCGGGGGTAGTGGTGCTCAGGAATGTGACCAGGAAACCCGCCAGCCGCCCAGAGGGGCCACTGGGATACCTGGGTACGCCCCACTCTGCCTCTGGTTTCAGACACCTGCTCCCATCAGAGTAGTCCTAGCTTCGGGGTGGGGTGGGGACCTGGGGCAGACGCATTTGCGGGAGCACGGAAGACAACACATCACTTTACAGTGAGAAGCAACCTGCCTCCAACCTGGAAATGTGGGGTCAACGTGACCTGTGGGCCATCCTAGTAGGCACAGGATCAAAGCAAGTGAATCCCTGCCATCCTGTCACTGGGTGAACCTGGCACTCGAGGAAAGGGAGTGGGAGAGCATAGCAAGGTGGGTAGCACTAGGCTGGAGTGCCCCTGGACACACCAGAGCCAGCCCTGCTAGGGAGACCAAAATAGACTTCATGGCCTCAGTCAGTGCCCTGGCAAGCGTGCCATTCCCAGGCCAGCTCCGGGCTAGGCTGGCACTCCTAGCCAGCCTCACGGTGCTTCCGGGGCCAGCCAGGCCCCTTCCGCTGACTCAGTCTTTCTTTAGAGCTGTTAATCCCTTTCGGTCCGGCCAGGCTGGGGAGGCCCCCCAGCCTCTGTGGCTCAGCTCTTCCACTTTGGGGTGTCTAGAGGTCTCCCAGTGTAAATACCAAAGGCTCCTGTCACACAGGGACTGGGCAGGTGCCTGGCCGCCTACTTCCTGCTCTTCCTCCCCTGCCAGCTGGCAGGAGGAGCCTCCAACTGGCCTCTCCTGTGGGAGTCTCCCTAGGGAGGGCTCTCCTGGGCTGTGTTCTCAGCCCAGCTTAGCCCTGGCTGCCCTGAGCGGGGACCCCCGAAGTCCTCAAGCCCCCTGCACGGCTCCACCAAGGTCCTGAACCCCAACTCAGCTCTGCCAGGAGCCCTGGCCCACCCTGGGCCTCTCAGCTGAGGCTGGAAGAGCAGCTGGCAACGTAGGGGGATTGAGGGAAGAACGGACACAGAACTGGGGGCCTGGGAGCAGGCTGGACTTGGGTTTGCTCATCTGTGTCCCTGCCAGGCTGTGGGCCCAGCCTTGCAAGGTGCCCAGAACACTTGACTTGGCATCGGGCAGTGAATACAAGGAAGTGCCTGCATCTTGGGAGTATGGGGGCTTCACAGGACTCAGGATTTGGCATTCACCCTGAAGGCCATGTGGAGAGCACCTCTATGCTGGGGTGGGCTCTGGAAAGGTGGGAGTGGGGAGGACATCGGTTTTGGGGACTCTGGAGGGCTGCTCAGGCATAGCTGGACTTGGGGCCTGAGACCGAGGTAGACTTAGAGCCAGATGGTGTTTCCTCAGTGAGCTCGCCTCCCGTGGGCATTCGGTGGTGGGCGTGGCAAAGGCAGTCTCGGTGTTTCTGGGGTGCAAGCTGAGTATTTGGAGCCAGGCACTTTGAAAATCTTGGAAAGTTTCTGATAAACCAGAAACCAAGAACACCAAAGCAATCATTTGCTAGCTGCGTCTGCAAAGACGAACGTGGCAGCGCGGATTCTGCTGCCACAGATGACGCTGCTTTTAGTGAAAGGGCAGAGAGCAGAGGCGCCCACCGCCCAACCCTGAGTCGGCCTCCAGAGGGAGGAAGCTGCTGATGGTGCAGGTGAGGGCAGTGGGAGGAGCTCTGTTTTGAAGATGAGACCTGCTTCCGCCTCCGTCAGCCATGTGCCCCCAGCGAGTCACCGTGCCTCAGTTTCCCTCTGTGGAAGGCCGTAAGGAGCATCATGTTTACCAGCCAAAGTCAAGGTCGAGGATAAGGGCAAATAAGGGAGGCGCTGGCGTCAGTGTTAGTTGGACTTAGCCCAGTCCTTGTGTTAGGTGGTCGTCCACGGCCTCCATTCATCATCCTTTGTGGAGGATGATGGCCCTGGAGCCGCAGGGTAAAACTAAGGCAGACTGCGGCTCTTCCTGGCATCTGACTGAGCTGTCTGCCCTGCCGGCCTCCTCTCTATGGCAAGGGCAGCCTCTCTCCCCTCCCAGGGCCTTGACACTGACTGGTCCCACTGTCCATACAAGTCCTAGCCACCGCCTTTTACCAACAGGTCTGCGCTTCCTCGGGGCACCTGCCGGCACCAAGTTCCGGGCATCTGCACGCCTATGACAACCTCAACTTCTTGGAGGTCCTCCGCACCCGCTTCCTGATTTATTCTGCATTTTTCACCCGAATGCTGGATGAGGGCTCTGGCTCAAGCCCTGACTAGTTGTCACAGAGGTCACGGAACTCCCCGTGCCTCAGTTTCCCTAGGTGTAAAGTAGGACCCACATGGTTCCCACCTCCGGGGGTTGTCCTGAGGCGTGAGAGGGAGGATGCGCGGAGGCCCTGGGCAGCCCCGCAGGGGTCGGGCGTGCGCTCGTCGTTGTTCTGTTGTCTGAACTGCAAGATCGATGCCCAGGCAAGCTTCGCAGCGCACCGGCTCGCAGAGGGCCCAGCCCGTCAGGATCTCCCCGCCAGCCCGGGCTCCCCGAGGAGGGGTCGCACGGCCAGCGCGCAGGGCACACCCGGAGTGGGGCGGAGCGTGGCGCGGGGCGCAATGGGTGTTGGGGGCGGCGGGGCCAGCGGGGGGCCAGGCCGAGGCGCGCGCTCTCCTCCTCCCTCGCATGCTCCGCGCAGGAACGCTCAGCCTGCCCACATGGTCTTAGGGTGCATCTGCTGCCAGTGACCCCCATTCCCACAACAAAGACGCTCGCCTGCCTGGGGCCAATTCCCTCGGCGCAACCGGGAGGCGCGGCGGGCAAAGGGGGTCCCCTTCCCCCAGGTCCGCAGCCCGAGAGGCTGGCTCCAGAGCCATCCCTGGAAGGGGCAGGTGTGCAACAACCCAGGGCCCGAGACAGCCGCCGGGGCCCCGCGGGAACCGGGACGGGAACGCGGTCGCCTAAAAGCGGCAGGGAACTCTAAGGTGGCGCCCGTGGGGCGCAGGCGACGCCGCCTCAGCCGCGATTTAAAGGGCAGCGACGGCGGAGGGATACCAGCCGCCGCCAAGCCGGCCGCGGATCCCTCCGCCACGAGGGGAGGCGACGGCTAGCTCTGAATCGCCCTTTGTCCCTCCGCCGTCGGGAGCGCCTGGCGCGGAACTCGCTCCCCGCGCGTGCCCGCGTCCCGCACAGAGCTCCGTGGAAGTGCCGCGGCGGCTGGGCCGGGCGGGAGGCGCGCGCACACTGTGGCGGTCGCGCGACACGGTGTCCCTCCGCCGTCGAGGCCGCGGCCTCCTTTTCGTATCCTTCCACCGTGCCCGGGCGGGGTCCGGGCGGCTCACCGGGGGCGGCGGCGCGGCGGCGGTGCGGGCGGCGGGGCTGCGGAGCGATGAGGTGAGGACGCCCGGGGACCGGAGGCGGCACCGCGCGGCGCACGGACCTGGGACGCGAAGTCCCGAAGTCGGCGGACGCTTTTCGTACGGGCGGCCGTGCGTGAGGCGGAGGTGAGAGCCTGGGTGGCGGGGCGCGGGAGCCGGCGCCGGGGGCGCGGCGAATCGAGGCCGGGGGCGCGGGGGGCGCGGCGGCGGCGGCGACCGGTTGGGGGCGGGGGGCTTGACCGCCGTGGGGACTCATTTTTCCCGTCAGCGGAGGGAGCAGGCGGTGCTGCGGTCCGCGCCGCCATCTTGGATTTTACTCTCCATTTTTCTCTGGAATTATTTTTGGTGATTAATTTTCTGGGGGGACTGGGACGTGGGGCCCGGCGGCGCGGCCCCCATCGCAGCGGCCGGGCAGCGGGGCCTCGGACGCGCCCCGAGAAGGAGCGGGGCGGCGCGGGCGGTGAGTCGGGGGAGGGGCGGGCGCCGGCGGTGTGCTGGGGGCGGCCTTGGCGACGGGGCAGGCAGGGACGTGGGGGACCGCTGGCGGGGCGTGCCAGGGCCGCCGGGGCCAAACGGGTGGGGCCGGGGCCGGAGCGCAAGCGGCTGCTGCCGGGCGCGGGGAGCAGGGCCGCCGGGGCCAAGGCGGGTGGGGCCGGGGCCGGGCGCAAGCGGCCGGGCGCGGGGGGCGGGGCTGCGGCCGGGCCGGTGCGGGGCCGGCGCGGGGCCTGCAGTGGTGGCCGCGGCCGGAAGGGAGCGGTAGCGGCCGCCGGGCAGCGTCGGGGCCGGGCCCGCGGCCGCACGAGGGGAGCAGCCCCGTCGCTCGCGATTGGGGGACTCTGTTTTCCCTTTTCTCCAATGGGCAGCCGTGAACCGTCTCGCCCAATCTGCTCCCACTGTCGGCGCTGAACTTTTTGTTTTTGTTTTGGCCCAAGCGCATTTCGGAGCCCTCCCGAGCTCGTCCTGCAGCCCACCCTCCTCCCCGACGGCGCTTCTGGCCGTGGCCTGGCGCCCCACGGCCGCTGCCTCCCCTTTGTGCTGTATCCGCTCTCCCTTGGTTCCCTAGTGTCTGTCTGTCCTTCCACGTATCCGCGGATGATGTGCACCGTTGTCACCTCCGCCTTGGAAGGAGGAACAGGCAGGTTTTCACAATGACAGCTCGATGCAACTTGCTGGATTAAGATAGAAACAAGTTGGGTGCTGAGAAGTTCAGTCTTTTTGGGTTTATTGACCCGGGTCTGGTGCAGTAACTTAGGATCTATTAAGCGGTGGAACTTTAGGAATTAATTTTTAAGAATTTGCCAAATGAAATTTATCTGGAGTGAGGGGAGTTTTCCTTAGAATAGAGGGCTGATGAATTAATTTGACTGTGGTTCTTTGTGATGTGGACCTTTTTCGATTTAAACCAGTTTGATATAAAGTGTAGTCGAGGATGGCCATATAGGTCTGAACTCTGCTGTGTAGGGTCTTCAGAGGAAACAGTTGCCAGCTGTAACTTTTTTCCCTTAGTCTTTAATATTGAGAATACGTCTATAATATTGTTAATTAGTAGTAAAAACAAATATTTTGAAAAGGGAGGAGGAAACCATTTTTGCCTGAAATAACCACAGATAATTCGTGCATGTTGAAATACATAAATTGCTGCTTACCGTAGATATAGATTTATTGTGTATCTGAAGGTTTAGCAATTTGAATCAGAGGTGTGGCCCTGTCCCTCTTGGTGCGCCTTATATTCCGAGGTTAGAGTCCACAAACGCTGTAATCCCGGCATGTGTGGGAACTCCAGCCCATTTTTCACTTTGTAATCTCTAAACATTCTACATTCTGGTCCCTCTCCCAAGCTCTGTCTCCAGTAGCTTCCCATGCCTGGTCCCTGTCGGCCGTGCCCTGCCTGGCATCCCACCACCCCTTTTCTCCACCTTGTACACATTCGTCCTTCAGAAAGGCCCCGTGAGAATGTTGCCTGCTGGTGAAACCTTCACACACACAGCCGTTGGGGTGGTTTCTTGTGAGCTTTTGAGTCTCGTGTTATCTCATCCGCCCACGGGCAGGTACAGAGTAGATGCTCATAGACACTTAATGAATGGGTTAATTTATTAATCTCCAAGTTGTCAAGCTTAATAGTTTGTATTAGTTTTTCAAAATAAATCTACTTTAATGTTATTTACAAACATCATTATATCTTAAAAACTGAGCTGGAGAGTGAAGGGAATATGGTAGATACTTCTTCAATAAGAGAGTAAGGTAGGGCTTGATTCTTTATCCATAATCATTTCCAGGTGCTCTCGCGCCTGTATTTTCATCTGCCGTCCCAAACACCCTGAATTGCTCATGCGCTGAACTTTTCATTCTCGCAGCGAATGCCAGGGGGCAGTACTGGGGAAGGTGGATGGAGGGTAGCGGACTCTTGAGAGGGAGAGACGCGTGTGAAGGAAGTGTCCCGGTGTCTGCGTGTCTTTCAGCAGGGAGTTTGGTGGGTGGGGGATGTTGTTTCGTGATTTTTCTCTTGGGTTGTTTAAAAGGGGGGTTGAATCTGGTTTTCCTTTACCTGAGTATCAGTTTGTGGGTTTATAGGGCCTGGGTTCGTGGCCAGGTTGTGTGACAAAGAGATTTGTGTGTGTGGCATCTAAGCAGCTCCCTGTCCACAGGAATGCCCTTCCCATGGCTTACAGAGAAAATCCTTTCAGATAAATCGCCGTGGTCCCATTATTTCGTGTTTCTGTGTACTATATATGAGCTTTACTTTCTCTCCATTGGCAAAATCCTTCTCCGTGGGCAGGAGTTCCCCGACTGTGTCAGCCCTAGAACACTCTAATGGAATCTTGCGCACACTTTTAACGACAGGGACCACGTGTTCTCCCTCCACTCCATCACCCTGTTGGCTATAATACTGCATGTTAAGTAAATGCAGGAGATGGTCCATTATGTGTGTGGATGGGGTTGGTTTGGGACTACCTGGTCTCCGAATGAGACAGACTTAAACACCGGGCCGTCTTCTTAGGGCTGTATGTCAGATGATGACTGCTGTATAGAAGTATAATTTTAGGAATAGTTGAAGGACCGTGGAATAAGAATCAATACCATTCTCTGCTCCGTCACTGTTTGTATAAGTCATTGATAGGGCCTAGTCTCCGTCTACAAAACGACTAAACCTCTCAGGTCACTTCCAATCCAAAATTATATTAATATTTCATCTTTTACACTTCAATGCCATCCTATTTTCTCTTAAGAATGATTTTAATCATATTTTGACATCTCTCTAATTACCTTACTTAGTTCATATGCGTGTTTCTTGTAGTTTTACCTCCTTTTTTTGAAATGTCATTATGAGATAATCAGTTGAGTTTTAGAATTGAGAGACTAGGGTATCAGTGCCCCCGCCCAAAGCTTGATTTGGGGCCTGTATGGCTCCTACAGTGCCGGTTGCACCTCTGTAAGCTGTCTTAGTTTGTCTGTTTTAATAGCACACTGAAGAAAATAGTACCTAGATCCAGGGATCATTTGCTGGTGATAAACCTCTAGGTGGTACACGTGGCTCAAGCACTGGAGTAAACCCCAGGCTACAGTTTAAAAGATGGTTTTAGACCTAGCCTTATGACTTAGTAGCACTTTGAGTTTAGGAAAGCAATTTGTTTCTGAGCTTTAACTTCCTTGTTGTAGTGCTAATACTTGTCTCACCTGATAGGGTTGCTGAGCTAGCGAATCCCGAGTCCTGCATGTTACCAGAACCAGTAGAAACCGAATGCGTGTGTTCTGACACCTGTGTTTCTACCTTGCGCCACCTTTACAGGAATGCCTGATCAGCAGATCTCTAAAGGCACTGGGCTTGCCTCTCAAGCCTTACGCAAAAGGCCCCTTCAGTGAAGGGTCATTCTGTTTCGTATTCTGTACTTTTCTACCCTGTTCTCAGGTAACTTTGTTTTCCCCACATGCATCCCTTTGGTTTTCGTCCTTGACTCACGTAGTAGCCCTGACTGATTTTCCTGAAAGTAGACGCTCTCCTGCGCCCTCTAGTGTTCCCTGAAAATGACCAGTATTCCAGCACCACGAACAGTGCCTGGTGGCTCTGGGAGGTTCTTCATACATTTGTTGAACTGAGTGGATTCTAGGTCGGCCCGATGAATTATTTGCCTGTCTGATTTGTATAACAGGGTTGAAATATCTGTTACATTTTAATGATCTCTGAGGAGTATTTTTATTTTTGAGGAAATGCTTATGTTGCATCATATGGAGAAATAGATATTTTTAGTAAGAAAACCAATCTGATTTTAGGAAGCTGGAGCTTTCCTCACTGAGAAGTAAAAGGTGGCTTGATCCTTCAGCCAGTGAGCCAGTGGCACCATAGGAAACCCCTCCTTCTCTCTCCCCCTTGGAAAGGAAACAAAACCAGACGTCATTCAGGGTCCTGCAGGGTTTAGAGGAAATATTTGTTTGGTGCATATAAGTATGTACCAGGAGGGGTTTTGACCCAAAAAAGGTGTTTTTTGTTTATTTCTTTTTGAGACTGGGTCTTGTAGCCTCCCATGCTGGAGAGCAGTGACATAATCCCAGCTCACTGCAGCCTCAATCTCCTGGGCTCAAGCAGTCCTCCCGCCTTGGCCTCCCAAAGTGCTGGGATTATAGGATGAGCTGCCATGTCTGGCCTCATTTTTATATTTATAATTTTGATTTATTTTTTCTTGATCATCCCATCTCAAGTCCATTCTCATATTAGTCTCTCTCCTAACATCGTGTTTTTCTTACAACTTGCACCAGATTGATAATCACGTATTTATGTCTCTTCCCACAGTATGCTGTGATCTCTACGCAGTCAGGAACGTTGTCTATTTTGTTCTAGAGTTTTACTCTTCAAATATGGGGGCAAAGTGTTTTTTTGTTTGTTTGTTTTTGTTTTTTTGAGACAGAGTGTCACTCTGTTGCCCAGGCTGGAGTGCAGTGGTGTGATCTCGACTCACTGCAGCCTCCACCTCCCAGATCCCAGTTCATGCAATTCTCCTGCCTCAGCCTCCCGAGTGGCTGGGATTACAGCCACGCACCACCACACCCAACTAACTTTTCTATCTTTAGTAGAGACAGGGTTTCACCATTTTGGCCAGCCTGGTCTTGAACTGACCACGTGATTCACCCGCCTTGGCCTCCCGAAGTGCTGAGATTACTGGTGTGAACCACCGTGCCCGGCCTGGGCAAAGTGTGTTTAAAAATTTGTTTGGGGCCAGACATGCTGACTCACGCCTGTAATCCCAGCCCTTTGGGAGGCCGAGGCGGGTGAATCGTGTGGTCAGGAATTCAAGACCAGCCTGGCCAACATGGTGAAACCCTGTCTCTACTAAAAATACAAAAGTTAGCTGGGCATGGTGGTGGGCACCTGTAATTCCAGCTACTCGGGAGTCTGAGACAGAGAATTCCTTAAACCCGGGAGGCGGAGGTTGCAGTGAGCGGAGATCGTGCCACTGCACTCCAGCC